GGCGACAGTCGAATGTGAGCTGTAGGTGCTCACAATATTGATGGGAGAGCGTAACGGTGTTTTACATTTCCTGGTATGAAGGGTGTGGGTCACACAAATTCTCGTGACCACATATCGGTATGGATCACTCAAGACGGTGTGACCACATATTGGTGAAACTATACTATATGACTACTGGAACAGCCAGTAGTCATATAGTCAATTAGGTTTCGCTATATGGATGGAAAATCTATAGAATTAGATCTAGGCGGTTCAAAACTGAGAAATACAGTTTACATTTTAATCGGAAGGGATAATTAGCCTTGGGTTAAGGATATAGCTACTCTTGAAGTAAGCGGATTGCGATCCGCTACACTCGTACTGGTTCAAAGTACACAACGAAGGTCACCAACCTTAACCAAGCTTCCTCTAAGCGAAAGAGCTACGACAGCGCTGCTGCAAAACACGTGCGAGAATGAGCACTTGGTCCATTCGGTATATATATAGCGTAGGCCTGCCTACTCCAGCTTACTTAAAGTAACCGCGAAATATGTCGCAGGTGTTTGCGTCGCCAAAACAGGTCATACCGTGCCCGCTCAAAACTTTTATCTGCAAGTCTTGGGAAGCGATAATTAGTGTTTAGCGTTCCTGATATGCGATCTCTCATCGACAAGATGGAGCCAGACCGTCTTTCGGAAGCAATAAGTGCTAGTTAGTGAGTTTGTCTCTTTTGATGCTGGGACGGCTCGGCGACACATATACGAGACCTCGTCATCGCTGTAGCCACACTAAGCCGCGCAAGTTTGGACTGATCTTGTAGTGATAATAGCGCATTGCTGATGCTTGGCAGAGGTACAACAAGAAGTTGGAGTTAGACCTGTTGTTCTAGATGTGTCGGATTGGGGCATGCACTCGTCTTGGTAGGCTGGCGACAAAAATTGAGTTGACGGGTTCATGTATCCTTTAGGACATCTTTTGAATTCTAGAAGTTGGGCTTTAAGCTTTTGCTCGAGGTTTACGCCGAGACCTGCTTAATTTTTCCGGCCGAGAGATAAACGCCTTAAAGGAGCCTGTAAGACACATAGACTGCCAGGTTTTTTAAATAATGCTCCATGTTATGGTATATAGTAAAACATATCTTAATAATTATTTTAAGCAAAACTATGAATATAACACTTTCATTGGCTTGGACGAGCAAGTGCTTAAGACTGCAAGCTGTGTTAATGCGCTCACTAATGGTGTTTGCCTCACTTTAGAAGGACGCTGCGGCAGGCACCCCCGTAATGAATATGCAAACGGAAGTCCGAGATGTATAGAAATACACATGTCACTGCAATGTTAGTCGACGAGAGCCAAGAGTATCACCAAAAGCCCTCTTTCCGAAATGGACCAAGCTCATAATTTGCTGGCACAAGTGCAGGCATATCAAAAGCTAAGAGACATCACCACGCGCATATGTTCAGCTGTTTACCATTTTAATAAGGTAAAACGAATTAAGGTTTTCAGAACCTTCTGATAAACTATTACGCTAAATTTTAAATAGATTTGATATATTTCAAATCTAGCACGTTTTTTTTGTTGTTTTGAGTTTATCAACAATCAGAAATGTTAAGTCAATTTTGACTTCAGTCTTAGCGTACTAGTTTTTCATATACAATATATAACGTGTAGTTACATAGTTAAGTCTTATTACATTCTTCAAAATGTATTTACAAAAAAAGCGCATTGGTTATGCACACCTCAAATGTTCACGATGAAAGCGATGGAAAACAAGTACATGAGCTAATATTTGTCCTCTGTACAAGGCAAAAGGCGCAAAGCAAGTTTAATCTCATTGTAGCTTAAAAAATGATCTACTTCTCGTTGTTGTAGCTATTTAAACCCGATTTTGTGGCAATCTCACGTCTTCTGCAGTTCTTTGCCCAAGCACAGTAACATAAAAGAAGCTCGTGTATTTTTGAAATTGTTCATTTGAACGACGAATTTTCTGTCTGTGCTATCGTAACGCAAAGTTACAGTGCACATCCCAACTCGCATGATGCTACTTCATCATCTAAGATTCAGTTTTCAACTGATCGTGCACTCAAGACACTGAACTTAAACAGAGAAAGTCAATTATATTGCGGGGCACGAAAATCTCGCGTTGCTGAGTGTGAGATTCGACACCATTTCGAATTACATTCATAAACCAGTTACGAGTACTGCCTCTATCAGGCAATGGTCCCTCGATTGGTAGTTAAGCTTTTTTACCACCCAACAAAAGCGTCAATCGTGGTTGCTGGGGATCTGATGCTCATCAGAACGTCAGAATTTACTCGAATACTTAGCTGTTGTTGTCTTTCTATTCCCACAAAATGTAATGAAGCAACTTTCTATTGTGATAAGCGTTTTGGGGTAAGATACCCATTGGATCTAATAGATTGAAGCAAGTCTTAGTTAGTATGAACTATGCTTATTTCCATAGATGCATGTGATATTGCGATGCTTTTCTTGCTTTTGGCTTCCAAGGGCGAGACTTCAGCGCATAATTAATGTAGAGACGTGAAAATCTCAGAAGCATGTTGTAATCATTCATGACATCTCTACTTCTGATATTCACAAATCTAATAGTTAGTACTAACAACTTTCGAGATTATTTTTGCAGCACGGATCTTGTAAAATTGCGAGACACAATCATGTTACTAACGTTCTTAAATCTTACCAAGGCAAGAGTGCCGTTTGCAAAGCCATTTTTTCAGCACCCTTCGAAGGTGTTGCTCAATGCAAAGGCGAAACCTACCTTCTTCCCACCAAAGTCAGCGGTGTATGCTTTTTGGTTCTTACCTCCTTGATACCAACCCCCGTCAAAACGCCTGATTTACCATCAGCTTTAGCTTTAAGCTCGATGTCTCAATCCGCCGGCTTGCGCGAGATTTTTGTCGTACATGGCCCTCCTAAATGATTGCAGCATTGCTCCAATCCATTACTATATCATTCCTACATTAAAAAACCGAAACATGCACTCAACGAGACTTTGACGTATTTACCAAACCTCATCCATTACTTGTGTCCAGCTCTTGATCAAACAACCCTTAGATATGTCCAAAATAGCGACGAGGCATACCAAATGTGCATCTATCTTGCAGAAGCTTCTCTCTTCAATTAACATGGCAGTATGCTCTCAACAGACTTCTACATGGATCCAGTCTCGATGCTAACATCCCAAATACCACACCATGATAACAGTTCTATGGCGTCGACACTCAACCACCATGACATTCGTCGTATGATCGACTATTATCACCGAGTTGATTAAATAAATTATAGTAGTATCTGCTTTGAAACGAGTTCCCAGCGTGAATGTCGGGAATGTGGCTTGTGAGGCTTCAAGCAGGAGCTATCGACTGTCCCGACACCAGCGATCATCGTCTGCGTCGACGTCTTTGGAGGTAATTGCGCGAACAGCAATCTCATTCTGGCCTTCTGCAACCCATAACGTCATTAAACTTCTGCTCATATATCCCAAGCAACACTTAATTGTTCAGAAATTGCCCTTGTAATCAATTCTCTGTGTTCAATCGCTGACACGCAACACTACCATTATTCTTTCAAGCAGAATATAAAGTGATGCACCAATTTCAAATGTATCTCATGCTTTAGAAATGATACGTGATGCAATAAATTTTGCTTCTGCAAAACAAATACTTCAGCTTGGGGATAGCTCTTTCAATGCATTCCATACGAACAGCTTTTTCTTACCTTGCGCACAATATTCACGATCAATACCAGGTTTGTGCCTCACATGATATACACCTCGACTTTTTGCGAATTAGTGTGATGCAGAGTGTGATGACAAATCATTTTTGTGACCGTAACGCTTAAGATAGAAGGAAATTTTAAAGCTTTACTACTCGCACGGTGCAATGTGATTTTAGGCTGACAGTATCGTTATGTGGAATGAGACTTGGGTACCACGTATGATAAGTGATTGACATATAATAATATTTGCTACCTTCGAAACTCAGTGAAGCTGATTCTCCACCCTTAATTTACCACAGTAATAATCATGGCTTTTCCTCTCCTAGAATTCGAAACAGTTCTTAAAGTTTCAGAGCAAGTTCTGAGAATCTCTGGAGTCAATGAATTTAATACAATGGTATCCTAAAGATGTTTCGTTCACGAGCCTTGTATTCCTTGCCTTAAACATTATACATAATCGCACTATGTCTTTGCTATATAATGTTCATACGGAATGACGACAATGTCGATCTGCATGCAACATGATGAGTCTATTCAATAATTCCGATGAGAGCAAGACTGGCATCGTGTGAGAGTACACAACGATCCTACACTGCCCATCGCTTACTACAAATGTTGAATGGGATGTAAAGTACTTTCTTTTTGTTTGCGCAAGTGTAATGTTGCTGACGATTGTTGTGTACGTATGGATGTTGAGGCCTACCCTTGCAATTTATGACTCGCGTTTGCGCATACGAATTCTTTTGGTAACCTGTGCGTTGCCTATGATGGCACGAATGCTGCATCAGTTAGGATCGTCGTTTAGGACTTTTGCCATATGCAACCTTATAGCTCGTGACAGCCTGGCAACCTTCACGACGTGATGTGTGAACTCCAGTGTGTCGCAACCAATGATTTGATTTAATCTCAGTTCGATGAACCCGCCCAGCTAGAGAAGCTTGCTAAAAATTTCGCATTTACAACACGACAGGCCTTTGTTGACGTCAATGGTGGGAAAGGGTTGAAAAAACTTGACTTTAGATCGCGACAGTCGACTTGCGAAGCCACGAGTTCATGAGAAGGCGTGATACATGAAGCAGTGAGACTTGTCCGGTTTGCAGTGCTATACGACCGTCTACAACACCAGATCGACAGTGCACCGTGCATTGAGTGGTGTTATGACAATCTCGCGACTTAAGAACATTGCAAGTAGCTAATCTCTTAAATATTATGCATATGACAGGTACCATAATGACTGAAATAATCACTTTCCGCATTTAAACGCGTATCTCTGTCCAACTGACTCAACTGCGCGTGGCAAACGCCTTGCACCTAAAGTCCGGTGTTATAAGAGCTTTGCTGAACACACGCGACACCTTGTCAAGATCCCCCAGTACGCACAAAAGCGGGGGTATCATATCCGAATGACTACGAATGCTTCCAACACAAGAGTGCTCGCGATCCCATTCAAATTGTGCTGATCCCTGCATAATTAGAGTCTGGTCTAAAAGTTCTTGCGCCAGTGGTGTCAACCCTTTTGACTGGTCCATGCTCAGCAAATGTGGGAAAATCTGTCGCAAGGTTATTTCCGAAATTGTGATGGTAGTGACGGTGCTGGCCACAAGTGTATTTGATGAGGCTTTCTCCAAGGCTTTTAGTTCGACCTCGAAATTCGCAAACCATTGCGAGATGCAATGCCAGTAGTCTAAAATAGCTTCAATACCGTATCCGGAGTTAAAGAGGATGTCCGGTGCCATCGTCTCTTGCAAGAAAGCCATTTGAACACTGCGTTGCGCATCAGAGAAATTCCGGACTCCGTATTGAAAAAGTCGAAAGTACTCGACGGCCACACTCCACCCGCTTGTTGTCGACGCAATTGTGGCAACTGCTACTCGACGACGCTGAGAAAGCTGCTCGATTTCGCTTCGAAGCTTTTTGTTTCCATCATCAAGACTAGCCGCGTAGTTTTCTTTTTTTTGTCGATACCGAATCTGCCTTACTCGACGTAGTTCCCGAAGTCGCACTTTGTCTGCTATAATCATTTCGACCATACTAGTCATCTGACCTTTATGTGTGATAGGCTTAGCAGGGCCTTCACTTATCGTGAGGCCGTCTCGTGACGCTGAGTAAGGGGTAAAATTTTGAGCACATCTTAGCTTCGTGGTCATTTCGGTGGTGCCATGATGGCTTGCCCAACGTCCATCTGTTGACGAGTCGTTTGGGTTTTCAGACTCTACATAAGACGTATGTATGCGAGGAGGCTGCGGTAGATGTGACAATGTTAGGCTGTGCTCTTGATCCACGTACGCGTTACGTGAGACTTTCGAGCGCTGTTGAACGACACCAGATATAACGTCGGCACTTAGGAGTCGACTGTTTGGCGGGTGAAGAGTACTCAATTTCATTGAATTATGCGCCCGATCAAAGAAGAAATGAAGTCGCAAAATTTAGTTCGAAAGACTGTATGTCATTGTGACAGGTAGGCTTACAACAGCGATTCTGATCCTGCCCATCTTTCTCCATCGAGCCCCTTGGACAGTCCGTTCTACAGGCTCATGACATCTGTCGAGATGCTTGGGCAACGATTGCGCATATTGTTTTTCCTAGTCGCCAAATCTATTCAATTTGAAAATTTCGGAAACTTTGCTAAAACAGATGGGAAAGCAGGAAGAGAAGATGTTTTTGGCGCGGTACTACTAGCATTCCACAAAGCCTCACCTCTTTACAAATATAACGATTAGGGCAGCCAGCCACTGTGCTCTTGTAGTGGACAGGCCATGTTAAAATGTCCTAAATTGCTTAGATTATGTCCATGTGGTCAGCAACAGTTAAGTGTGCATCTAAGCGTTTCAAGAGGTCTCAGTATCTTGTAGCTTGATGTGATACATTGAGCAAAGATGTAATAACAGGCAATGTATTTTTTACTTGATCTTCATATCACGGCGAAAATAATTCTACTTTTATTTTTATTATCAAGGTCTGTCTATAACTTGGTGGGTTTGTAAGCGGCGAGCAACACATGTTACACACATAACGTAATGAAGTTAATCCGGAACCCACCGAATTGGAAAAGAGCAGACAAGACCGTCGGACTTCTCAAATCAAGCTTCCGTAAATCGTGCTACGTAATGTGCCATAGAGTGTTGTTAGTACATTATAGGCTATCTAGCAATCCGTGACAGTCACAGTGACTCGACTTGTAGAATGATTGAACGGCCCATGATGTCAATCAGGATGTGTATGCCATACAGTAAGGATAAAGATGAGAGTCCGCCATAACACGATTGTGCTACATCAAGGTTGTTTTAGTAACATTTTCCACGTTGGAACATTGCCGGCGATAAATCCTTTGTGCTTTTCAACTCTTATTGAACGATGAATCAAAGCCGCACTGTATACAAGTCACATAGCACCGGATAACAGATCGAAGCTCAAAATTGCAAGGCCATAGCTCTTGAATATGAGCCTTTTGTGGTAAAATCGTATTAGCCAGCCTTAATGCAATGGTCGACTTGATTAATAGATCAGGTTTTGGGCAAATCAAATGGTCTTTTTAGAACATGCTCTTGGGTTCAAAAATCTTGAAACCAATTTTGATGAGTGAGTCATTGAAATCTGACTGTAATCCGGGTAGAAAAAACTAAAGTTCTATACTTCCCAAGCAGCTGCCTCAGTTAAGCTCACCAATTAATCGGCCAAAATAACTGGCCTGAAATATTTGTCAGACAGGGTGAACATTTCCATGTTAAAGCGCATCATGTTCTTTTGAAACATTTACTTGCAGCAGTATTCACGGAATCCACCTTTTTTCCAAGGAAGTGGGGAATACATCAGTGAGAATCTCAGATCAATAAGCCGTTTATGTTCAATCACAATTGGCATTAAGTCGCGTACAGTTCGTTTAGCTTCTTCATGAGCCATTCACATGTATTAAAATACCAAAAAGAGTGATCATTCACAGTTACTTTTCATCTTTTAAAATTTATTATGACAGTCTCAACATTCTCCTCAAACAGCAATCTAATTTGAAACTGTCATTCGTGGTACTAGAAAATACCGTAAATGTCACAATATGGTCATGTTCGTGCTAAGCGACAGCTTAAAATATTATCTTCCAGACACTTGCAATCGTTGCGTTGATGGGACCAGCATGTAGTACCGCGCGCAAAGAAGATGCGTAAACAATCATCACCACAGACAAATCCCCTTTTCTCTCCCTCTTCTTATTAAGTCAAATTTTTACTCATCTAGTTCTTAAAAATAGGACAAGTAAACAATTTGATAATCTAAAAGCTGTCGCGACAAACTCGCTGCTGGCACTTGGTTAGTGGTGGTCAATTCACAATTTGCTTCTTTTGGTTGCTGTTTTTTGAACTCAGTGATCGATAAAAGGTAGTTTTTAGCGTAAAATTAGAAACTTATTAAAAGAGGGTTGAGGTATCAGGTTTAAGAACTTTTGAGTGTTAGTTTCAGCTATACATTTGTTCCACGTCTGATTGTCCTTGATATATAGAGTCTCGAACGCGTTGTCGAATACCATGTCAAGAATGTTGCTTTCTAGTAAAGCAATATGACAAGAAGCAAATGCCAACGTGCTGATCGCTAACGGAGGCTGTGCCATTACGCTTTTTGTGATGCGACTGATACAAAACAGAGAATAAACAAAAAGACGAGCCATAATCGTCGGTGCGACGGGCTTACCACGGTCGTCACCGATAAATTGTATGTGCAGCGCTATCATTACCTTCAGTCTTCATTGCTCTCTCATAAGACGGCGGATCTGTCTTTACAGGCAAACTTCATATATAGCACGAAATAAAACATATTTTCAATTAAAGAAAAGATTCTATAAGAAACCTGTAATATAATTTAAAGTAAACTCAAACATTTTAGTCGCGAAATTCAGATGCTCAAAATGTATATCTTCGAAAACGTACAGGCAGGCCACTTTAATAGATTTTTTATGTATTTATCTCAGCGGTCGAGCCAAAAAAGTCCCACTAATGAAGCAACAGTTTTTGGGTTAAACCCAACTGCGCCGCAGTCTCGGCCCTTATCGATCTACCAACCGCCGCGGTATCTCTCTCTTGTATGCATCGCGATGACTACAGAAGGCATACAGAGCCCGCTTCAATGTGGCCGTGAAGCCCACTTCGGCTTGGCCGCCATTAAATGCGACGAGCTGTGCGGGTGGTGACGTGCCAGTTCTAGGCAAAACCTGGTGCCAAGCGCAAGGGGACGTCGCATGCAAAGTCATTTACAACTTCATATCGTTGTGATGTGTCATGAGACTGTACACCATGAAGATGGGCCGAGTTCGAAGTGCTCACAACTGCTAAGACTTTTGGCAAGCTTTGTTGAGGAAGTGATTGGTGACCTATTAATGACGAGTCGGTCCATATGCTCTCCTATCATACCGCTGACAAGGGTATAGAGCTGTGCGCTATCGTATACGGTAGACATACTCTGGGTCAGGGTCGACGTCCTGTGTCTTGCTGATATCATACGGCGAAGCCGTATGATATGCTAGCGCTTCCAGACATGTATCAGCGTATCTAATTGATTAGACACATCCGTTCGACGCGGCGGCAACAGTTAACGCACTTAGGCGTTCGTCACGCTGTCAGCAGCTGGGATATTAAGTCAGAAACTTTATTGGCGCTTGCAGCGTGCTGCAGCATTTTTGACTTTTCAGATGCATTAGGTTGACACGGCGGCATCAATCACCGCATTAAGACGCTCGTCACGTTGTCAGCAGCTGCGATCTCAAGTCACATGCGTTTGTGGCGCTTTCAGACGTGATACAGCGTATCTCATTAATTCAGACGCATCCGTTTGATGCAGCGGCATCAATTAACGCACTCAAGCGTTCGTCACGTGGTCAGCAGCTTAGATAACAATCAAGTTGGGTAAAGAGAAGTAATGAATTGTATCACTTAAAATTTCGGTCAACAGTGCAGCTGGCTAAAACGTTTTTACCGAGCATGATCCGATGTAGATTACTTTCAATGGAATTGGTTACCAGTTCTTAAGTGTAAAGGTGGTCTCTAGTCTGTTCGTGCGAGCTCTTTCCGTATTTAATGCGCGTCTTCGCTACTGTAAGCCAGCGCCAAGGTGTATTCTGTCAGAAATTCGTCTATTCTCCGGCTCAAAATGGTATTGGGATTCATTTCGAAGGTAGTGTCGTTCCAAGTGCGTCCAGATTCGTTGACGTTACACGGTGCGTCACTAAGATAAGTTTCTTGTAAGGCGCGTCCGAGCCACATATATATGTGAATCATCAGCGCCACCGGTCCGCAAGCTAATTATGAAGTTTTAGTTGCTGCTGCATGTACGCCACTGCACTCGACATTTGGGACGCATCAGGAACGTCCAATATGGATGTCCAATTTTGCTTTGGCATATGTATTTGACACTGTTTAATCGTTCTACCTTTGCGCACGGTCAAAATGGCCGGCTTTGTCGACTCCTTGTGACGGAGCAGGGTTGTGACCGTGTGTACGGGCGGCGAGCAAATCATGACCGAGCGTGCAAAATCGATTCGAGCATAAGGAGACGTCCCTTTGGTGCGTGCTCCCCCACATCCTGTTTGCCTAGAAATGGTGCATTTTTCTCCTCTCTGATGATGATGCGCTCGCGACTGCTCTGACTGGTTCAATCACGTACCCTCGAGAGCAGCAAAATCTTACAGCCGAGACGAAGACAGCGTATCCCATGTTCTTGAAAGCTGCAAATGTTCACACTATAGCTTTTCAAGCATCGTGTGTGCGACTCAAAATATTAAAAAAAAGGAACCAGCATGCAAGCCTGCCGTCGGCTGGTGGTTAAATGTATCCATCCTTGATGCAATCGCGACGATTCGTGCAAAAAGTGTTTGCGCCGCAAGGTCTGACCACGCTGCTATGTCAGCTTCACCGAATAATGCAGTGTCATTTCAGAAATTGAAAGGTTGGAAAATTTAGACCAAAGCATCATCATGTCGTCTCTAACAAAGGACCTGAGCAGCCTCAAACCCTTCGTTGGATTTGAGGTTGCTTACGTCCATTCTAAAGACGACATGATGATGATTGGGTCTTCATTCGCGATCATTGCATCTTTGTGATTGATTCAGTGGAGGGCCCTGGCTGTTCGGAACTTAGAGAATATGGTCTTTCCGACGCCTTCGCCGTCAGTCCTGCCTCATTCTTCGACCAAATACATACGGCTGTGCTAAGCGAGATTTTCCGCTATAATGCACAACGACTACAGCGGACCGGTTACACACAGGTGTGAATCGACCAGATCGGACAACACCACCAAACTTGCAATATATTATGCACTGTCTTGATCGAATGTATCTGCTTGGTGAACACACTTTGTAGTTTGAATAAACCATGCTTCGCTGTGGATCTCAACCCGCGCATACCACAAATAGTTTGAAAGACGTCGTTCTTCTCTGGTACAGTCTGAATGTGCGCTACAAGCTAGAGGGGAACGACACTTTTGGCACGGCGCGATCGCAACGACTCTCAAAAGTTCTGGGGATGGGTTTAGTGCGAAGCTGTCTCAACTGCGATAAAGAAAAGATTTATGCAAGGAAGTGAGTGTTTGCTCGCAATTTCTCGAGAATTCTCGCTGATCATTGACGGAGAGCAATGATGTCGCAAGTTGGTCAGCCACCAACAAGTCAAAAACTCCTCTATGAGTCTGAGCCCGTATACGTCGATAGCACCTTTCTTGGAGTTTATTGCGATACTACCAAATTACATCTGTGGTCCCCTGCCAAAAATGCTGACCTTCAATTTTAGCTTATTCTTGAGTATCATAATGTCTTACCGGTGAACGCCTTGTCCTTAGAGAGAATACTTTTACTATCAGTCATTAGAACTAGTATCTCCAGTAGGAGTATATTGCAAAGCAATGATATTATGAATCAGACATAAAAGACCACAGTCGTTTTGCTTGTACATTCAATTTTGATAATTCAAGGCGTTCATTAAGCATGTCATGCTCAAAAGGCGACAAAAGATTGCTTTTTCTGCCAGAGCTCAACTATAAATTAAGTACTTTATCTAATTGATAAACAACAGCCAGATTTTGGTCTCTTAAATTGTTTAACCACCTAATCTATCTTCTAATGCTTGAAGAGATCTACAGATTCGAACCATGTTCTTGGTCAAAATCTCCACTACTATCTAGAGATCATCAAATTCGGTCAAATATTTTCTTTCAAGAGCTCACAACGTGCTCTCTTCGACCCCAGACAACAGTGCTCTCGCTCGTAAATAGGTCCTAATCTCAAGCCACATTTTTTTCTCTCTTAAATAAAAATGTATTTGAAACTTAATGCGGACAACGTCAACACTTCGCGAAGGCATTTATCATTAAGGTGAGCGGGGTGGTTTAGACGGCATCTTAGTATTGACCTGTGTGTTAAGCTCTTATGAATGACATGGAAACTAATATCATTCAGATAATTCTGTTATGTCTTAAGCAGGTAAATGAGTAACTCACCAATTGAAAATTAAAATACAAGCGTCAAATCTA